GCTCGGGGACTCAGCCTTTAAAAGAACCTAATTTCTTGAAAGACACCGTTTGGCGTGTGTTAGAGAAACTCTGAGACCACCGTTCGACGGAAAATGAGTAGGGCACACTTGAAGACACGAAATCGTCACAAAAATCAAGCCACGTTTCCCAAAATCTGTGTCGAATTGTTAACTTTTACTATTTGTCTTCACTTCTCTTACTGTTTTAATTGTTGTTCAGTATGAGTTTTTCATCTATTTCAAACAAGCCTGGAGAGAAAATTAAGAGAAATGCAGACGGACAGTATAATGTATGGGGTAGAAAGCCGAACTTAATGCAGCTGGCGCAGCATGCACACATTATGGAAGAGTTGGCTTGATTTTTGGATGGCTTTGTGTCTTCAACTGTGCCCTACTCATTTTCCGTCGAAGAGTGGTCTCAGAGTTTCTCTAACACACGCCAAACGGTGTCTTTCAAGAAATTAAGTTTTTTGAAGGTTGGATTCCTGAGCACCCCTTGGGAGAATCGGCTGCTTTCCTATAACGCGACGGTTATCGCAACCGAAACGCGAAGAAAAAAGGTTCAGTGCTCTTCTGGATTCCACATGCTGCAGGATTCTTGACGAAATGCTCAACAACCACATAAGCGGGGCTCAAATCACGCGCGGTTTGTCTGCATGGCAAATCTCACTTTTGCACAAATTTTGCCTTTTCATAACTACTACAGCGGTGTTACTTTCGTCATCACCTAAAAAAAGAGGAACTGGTGACCCCCCAACAGTTCCAACGATGAAGCCCAACCGAGAAGTATGTTGTGGAATCATATTTTTGCAAAATCGGGACGGCCCACTTCAAAAAATGAAAATAAAACGTTTTAGCATTCTCGAAATGTTGACACTCAAAATCATGTTTATAGAGAGCACGTTGTTCTTGCAAAGGCTTTCCCAGAAACACTCGTACGAATTTTCGAGCACTTTTTAGGTGGACTGAATTCATGCAAAGCAGTGTAGAGAATAAGGCCTCCAACCAATAAGGCCGAATTGGTAGCACATCCTTTAGCGATCAGTGACAATAGAGCATCCTATTGCCTTGTCAAGAAGAAGTCATGTTGACAAAGGTTCACGTTATAGGTAGTAGAACTCACTGTGACTTTTTGAAAGATCTCAACACTGTTAGGTTTTGAACCTCGATGTCAAGTGCCAGTTTGCTTTATTGTAGGCCTCGAGGACAGCTCAATATATTGCCAGCCCGAATTATCCACATCCACACCCTCAAGGTGTAGAATGCTTCTGGATTCTTCGAGCGGTATCCGGTCGGTTCTGCTCTCTCATTTCCCTGAAACTCTTAACTTGGAATGTCGAAAGTATAACTTTAATGTCTAAATTGCAGGTGGGCGTGTCTTCTTGGAATTCATGGACAATTTTGAATTCTATTGTGAAGATACGTGCGATAAAAACTATGTTGAAATCAAGTACCACAACGATAAGCGCCTGACGGGATCAAGGTGAAGATTTGTATTAACGCGGTCTTCGTGAATTTGAAGAATTTTTCTTTCATATTTCTATTCATACAGTCACAACTTAATTAGTGAAAGACACGTCAACTAGAGGTAATGAGAAGCAAATGGCCCAGTCTTTAGTCCACTGAGGGATAAGAAAAAATGACCATTGTTGAAATTCTATCGGTTCTTTGATAGTGGAAATTAGCCGAGCGGTAGGGTTATGCGTATGAAGCCAGAACTGTCAGAGCCACTGCGTTAGCGCCCCTAAGATGATTTACGGGATTTTGAACAGAAATGAAATTCATACTCAAAGGTGTAAGCAGCATCAACCTTCCCGCTGTACCGATGCCAAGGTTTTGGCGGCTATCCTAGTAGGCTCCTCGTGCGACCTCCACCATCGCTACCACCATGAGTATTTCTTGCAGACACTTACCATTAGTATTTGATTCTGCCACCCATGTAACATACTCCAGCCCAAAACTGCTACAAATTATAGGCACTCATTTGCCGCGTCATGGCTGTGCCTTTGAACCGTGCCAGCTCTCATGCGCACGACGAGAGAAAGGAGGTTGTATAAGAGCATCCTAAGAACGAGCATAATTCCCTTAAATTAATATTTTACCAACTACAAAGGTGGAATTCACGATGAAAAGGCTGTCGGAAAATTGAGTGAGTTATTGGCAGTGATGCACGAAAAAAGAAAAAACCCAGGAAATTTCCAAGAATGCAATAAATGGGACCATTCCTTGGACCTCGACTGGCGCATCGATGCGACTGCCCTCTTCAACGTTAGCGCTCTCTCTGCTGAACGGCTAGAGACTCAGACACGAGACGACGTAAGAGGGGGCGTACCGGGACCATAGCATGCCAAACGCACCGCCGGGAAGGCCATGCTAGATGGCTGAGGGCATATCCTGTGTGACTTGCTCTCGGTCCACCTCTGCATCTCCATTATGTCAATCTCCCCTTCCTCGACCTTCTTCCTTATTCGAACCCCCAAGCAGACTTGGGACATCCCCTCCTTGTGGAAAATTTCCATCTTCTCCCCGTAGGATTGTCCTATTATGCAGTGGTAAAATATCATAGCATTTTAAAGAAATTCTCTCTACCTACTTTCATATACTTATATACTTTCTATTGATATTGCAAATTTTCCTTTATATGCGACCTGGAGAGACGGGATAAGAAGATATAGGAAGTAGAAATTGTTCCCCCTTCACCGTGGCAAAAAATCCTCAATGTCTCGAGAAGCGAGTTCTGTAAATCAGTGCCCTTTCTTGCGCTGAATTTCGATCTCATACCGGGTTTGGGTTCTGTGTTCCTCTCTGAGCCCTCCAATGCGATCTACTCGCTCATGATAACTCAAATTTGAAGAGTACAACGCTGCCTAGGATGTGTATGCATGCACCTCTTTTATCGAAAACAAAACATTTGAAAGACTTCCAATATTGCTATGGCTTGTGAATGCAGGCCATTCCTATGCTTGTTGTGTTATTGTTGAAGCTTGACCAAAAGATTCAACGCCCTACACCCTCCCGTTTTCACTGCCGTTTCTGAGAAGTGTCAGTACAGTTTCTCCCAAAAGAAAAGCTCCCCTATTTGTTATCGATATCTCTGGAACAAATGAATGATTCCTTTCCAAACTATTCTGTCAGCAATACCTGGGAGCTGCGTCGATATGTTGTGAATAAATTTGAGAAGAAAAAGAAGGCGGATTCGTTTGAATTTTTTTCGAAAAACGTGGTGTCCTAAAAGGTTGTTAAGAAAGCCTAAACAATGAAGCGATAGATCCGCTTCTTTGTTCAGGCTTTCTTAACAATATACTCAACAAGATTTATAACAACAATGGGAATGAATCTTGCAACATTTCCTCTCCTTTGGGGTTTCAGTCACCGCTTTGACACACTCGAGACACGATAGCTGATTATTTCGAACCCGCTCTTATATTTTTTCCATGGGATTGTTCGATTGCTGTACTCTGTCGAACCACCCGTAGTGGCTCAAAGTTCGGGGTTAGGATGTCTCAGGGAATCCTGATTGATTTGAGTTGGTTCAAATGAAAAGGTTAAAATTTCTGATGCCAAACTAAGCCATGGTTGAGGCACTAGCGTGACTGGTAACGTTATTTTGCTAAAAGTTGAAGTTTTTGAACATGAATGGCCTGCTTATGGCACTAGTTCAACTTAGAGAGCGACGTAGTAAGCAGTGGAGTTCATGAAATGTGTGAAGGACACGATTCGACCATTACAGAAGCAAGAGGGGCAACACAAATTCACGACACGATCGTCAGCAAATACGCTCACTGGAGAAACGTGGTTTCTTCCTCGAATCGTGTTTGAAACTTATTACACCTATTGCTACAGTCCAGATTATATTTACATATTTTTTCATCCAAACCGCCTTAGCGTCTTACATACCTGACATGATCAATGCAAATCATGCAAGCACGCGCCAAAGGAGTCATAAGAGCCATAGAGTCATTTTCGCTACTAGTGTCTTCGGGGTGTGAGCTTCCTCACACCTCCTCACCACTGTTTTGCTCCAGGGCAGGGTCAACCGTCCGTTGGACAAAGTCCAACGCGACGACGAGAGTAATGCCGAGAGTGAACGTACGCACGGAGACACAGACGGCTCGCGGGTGGCGAGAGTGAATGCCGGCGCGGAGAGCGGTGAACATCGGTCCAACGTCGCTCCAATATCGGTCCAACGTAACGGTTGACCCTGTGGTACATTTGGTGGGCATAACTTCGTATAGCATACATTTAGCAAAATTTTTGAGAAAAATGGCTCGTTTTTCTCTCTGATTTCTTCTCACTGAAAGCGTATTTCTTATCCTCCAGACATGGACTGTCACGAGCGTGTTGTAAAACACGTGAAACTGCTTCCATTGAGACACTAACTTTTGAAGAAGTTTTGATTTCCGTACCCGGCTGGATAAAGTCGTATTATTTTCTCACGATACGGCGCTTATCTCGGTCGGATAGTAATCAGGGTTCTTCCCAGAATCATATCCTGTAGCATCCTTGAGAAATTTGTTCGTTATGAAGTCACCCCGACAAATTCAGCGTGAGCTGACACTTCAACAACTCCTGCGTCTCTTTTGCTAGGTTTTCCTTTTACGGAAGTTCGACAGCGGTTTTGCCTTTGCTATAAGCTAAGGGACTTGAGTGGGTAATAATTTCAAAATTTGATTGGGTAAAAGCAAAATGCAGCAGAGAAACATGTGGTGGAACTATGATTTTGCGTCATAGGCAAGCGGGTATTTTCGAAAAAATGAGGATAAAAATTTTTGCTTTCTCAAACTGGATTTCCGTGATAATATTCAGATTCGCATTTGCATGTGTCACAATTTGTCTGTAGAGCCCTTTTCAAAAACATCTCCAAATTCTAGTTTTTGGGAAATTTGTAGGTGGAACTAAGATTATGCGTCGCAGTGTATAGCGTTCGCCGTCGCGCGTCTCGAGCTTCTCGCTAACGCCATCGAGATGACTGCTCTATACAAGCCAGTGTGCAAAGTTCCATGCATGAAAATCCAGTTTCCGAAAAGAAACCAGCTCTCAAAGAAACTTGTGACCTAGACGGACCCATGTGCGAAGGCACAGGGTACATGGAATGTATGTACAGGGGTGGCCAAAAAAAAAGAGACACTCAGCCCATGGCGCACATCATCGAACTTTTCGTCACACAGGGAGCCGATGTTAATGAAAGTTTTATGGCGTTATATTCCTTAGTTGTTCCTCCGTAAACAGAAGCAAGCACTCCTTCACTGCCCCTGCCGTCTCCAGAATATGACGTCATCTGCCGTCACCGTCGAGCTCAACGAGGCTTACCGAAATCGCTCCGACCTGAAGCTGCTACACAATTTCCTCAGTGAATTAATTGTTGAATAGCTTCCTAGAGACATTAGCTGTGAATGTGCAAAACCGCTTTTGACCTGCGTTTCAGAGACGTCGTAATCGTCTATGGTATCTCAACGACCTCGTTGAGATCGTACCGCGCACAATGCTTCCGTGGGAAAATCTTCTGATGTCGTCGGTGTAGAAGGCTGTTGTGTAGCTTGTTGATAGATTATAACGTGCTCTTCAATATTCAGTTGGGGTCATTTGGTTTGGTTTCGCGACGCGTAAATAATTCCGTTTTGAATGTTGAGTGAAGTGTCTCTTTTTTTTGGCCACCTGTAGAGGCGGCCATGGACACATTCCCCAGAAATATTTGAATTGGGTGAGTAGAGAAAAAACGACCAGTATGCATAGCGAGATGCGACAGAAGAGTGGAATGTTTTGTCATATGCGAGAAGGTCAAAAATACTCCCTAATGACGGCATTCTGAACAGGGTCAACCGTCTCTCCGGCTGATCCAGACGAGAGAGTCGTAAAAGCGCACGGAAAGGGGTGGTATGATAAATGCTAAGGCCAGCGGCAGAAATCCTAGAGCTACATACAATGTTTACCAAAATTATAGGTTCACTCCACTTTTCTTAGATATCTCTGGAGGAAGTCCTTTCGCTCCCAGATTTTACCAGCGATTTCCCAGGAAAGCAGTGTCGATAGTGACCACACATGAAAATAAGAGAAACTCGGACGTTTATCTGATTTTTTT